TGGAACACATGTCACTTATACAAATGTGGCAGACTTTGTATAACGTACATCGACCTTGACTAACAGGGAACCGGGAACCTGGCATCATAGTCTATGCGCACAAGTATTGATGGTCCGAAAGTGAGAATAACAACAACAAACCAACATTTGGCTGGCTGGAGCGAAAGTGAGGATAACAAACTTTGCACTTCAAAATGGGATTACGCAGCGACATCGGTTGCAGAAATCAGCCACGCTTCTAATCCATTGCCCCCATGTGTGAAAATAAATCATAGCACCATAAACCGATAGCAAAATTGATTTCTCTAATTTAATCCCGATGCAGAGTACACAACAGCAAAACAAAGCGCGCCCATCATCGTCGATGATGGTGATGGTGATGATGCATAATGATGGTACCGATCGATGCTGGCAGTGCCCAAGATGATCGATGTCTTTCGGAAACTCCATTAAGGTCAATTATTGCTACACCTCGGATCCGTCGTCGGCGGAAGCTTTTGTTTTCGGGGCTTACGCTTTGCGCATTTCGTTCCTTCTCAGCCATCCATCCATGCATGCATACACTTCTAATTAATTCCCGTACGAACCGAGCGAACTCTGAAGATAAGAAAATCGTAGTTACTGCAACAGAAATGCAAAATCTTCCACCGGGGAGTGAGCACGTGATGTGGCACTTTTCGTCCCAGAGAGGTTGTACCATAGGAAAAGTCCCTCCAGCCCTCCACCTTCTACCTTCCCTTCCGTGTCGAATCGGTAATGTAAACGACCAATTATTTTCCGACATCGATGGTGTTTTCTGTTCACTTTTGGGGGCCCTCGGGATCGCGATCGCGATCGAGCCCGTTCTGTGCTGTGTAAAAACACCTTTATCTCACACGTCATGCTGCTGCCGCTGCTGCCACTACTGGCCGGCCGTCACTTTTGTTGTTGCCTCGAAGGGATCCCGGGTCTTCTCTTCTTGATGGTGGCTGATGACCGGTTCCCATACAATACCTTCCCGACCCGGTACTGGGTATGTGAGTGTGTTTGAGGAGTGAGTAGATCGGTGGACGAAGAAAATCCAACCAGTCACGGCCGGGAGGATGAGGAGAAGGCGAAACGCATGTCGTGATCCGGCTGTTTTGCAGCCGCAGTCAGACACCTTCGAAGCGCCCCGAAAAGCTGCGCTGCGCTCTCCGGTGCGCTCCGGGTATGATGTATGTAATCAAGCCCGTTCGTGCATAATTACGACTAATTCCTTTTGATTATTATTATACTCTCCACGCCAGCCAGCCAGCCAGCTAGCATCGGAGCTCGGCGGACGGGTCCGGGTGTTTTTTGACTTTGGCCTGGCCGGGCAAGTTTCGTTTTTGTGCTTTGCCTCTGCTCTCCGGGGGCTTCGTTAGTGTGGAGACTTTCGCTTAGTTTTTTCGGGAGTCTCTCCGTGATTTTTTTTGGCTTGGCTTCTTCGAAATGTAGTCCACTGAGCAAATCCCCCTAGCAGGTACAGGTGGGAAGCAACAGTAGACGAAGCAATACTATTCCGGAGCGAGAACCTCGGTGAGAACAGTCACTAATGTGATCGTCGGACACGATCGAAGCTATTAGATGGTCGATGGGGGCATCAGAGAATGGCTTGAGCGAGAGAGGAAGAAACTATAAAAATATAATAGCAAATTAATGGATATCATCGCCATTATTCATTATCATCGGCCATCATCATCATCTTCGTCGTCGTCGTCGTCGTCGTCGCAAGCATGATGATCGTAGCCGACCGTCGATCACAGCTCACAGATCGATGGATATGGATGGAAAAGGCAATAATCATAGGCGATCTTCAGACATTGATACGCTCGCTGGTTGCTGTTGTTGTTGTTGTTCGGTTTCGGTGGCCTAGTGCGACCAGAAGGTTATTATTTTTCTGTTCATGCGGCCGTCTGATTCGAGGAAGCACGAATCGATAGTGGAGGCAAAGTTCGCCTCTCAAGCGATCGATCAATCGATCGCTGACGGTGGCAGGTCGCATGTTGCAACCGTGCTGGTGCAATGATTGGCTATTTTGTGGCCTAGATTTGCGATTGAAGGGCGTTTTTCGGGCGATGCTGTCAGTTTTTTTTTATTGGTATCGAGCAACATTCAGGGTGAAGTATTTTTAGGTTGGCAGCGTAACGGGTGACCGGTAGGGAAGTCAGTTTTGATCTCATACAACTACTGAAAGCCTAGCGCCACTTTCCTAGGGACCAAATGTAAACCAATTGAATTTAAATAACGATTTCAGGACGGAAAACAGTATTTTTTGCGTTCGGGGGTTTTCATCTTGACAGAACCTGCCTTACATATAGTCTCTGTGCATTATTTTTTCAAATTACTGTTAGAATATAGGAAAATGATGCAATGCTGTGTGACTATGAGACCTAAACTGACAGCACTTGGTAATCAATTAACAACATTAACTTGACAGTGATCTTTAAGAGGTCAGATGTCACAAACGCAGAGAACAAAATGCTCAAAGAAAACTCTTCCAAGTAAAGCCGAGAGTAAAGCATCAAACTCATCGTGTAGAATAAGAGTTCCCCTATTCGATAAATCTGACGACATTCATGGATTTACCGTGAACCCCCGGTAATCTGGCCGTTCTTAATCTGAACACTTTTTTGTTTGAACTCCGCTAATCTGCACGCCGTGCAAACTAAAAATTACTCAACTTACTCAACTCAACTACTTACTAGATAGAGATGGAATTAGGGCGTATAAGCTTTTGTAAACAATGACTTCACTCGATGATCTCTAGAAAGTCAAGGCCCGCTCACTCAAATCAACGTCACCATCTGGTAGGGGAAGACTTCCCCTTCCCGTTGGTTATGTTGGTTTGCGTGGGAGTGCCTTGAGTTTCGAGAAATCATCGAGAGAAGTCATTGTTTACAAAAGCCCTAATTCCAGCTCTATCAAGAAATGTCATCCAGCACATGGAATAGATTAAAGTCAGAGTCAATAATAGAAGAGTTACGCAGACTGAAACCAAAATCTACCTATCGAACTGTCAAACAGTCTACCTATCGAACATAGTAGACAAACTGACTCTGTTGCGTGGGAAGTATTGTTTCCACAAATCAAGATACCAGAGGAAAATTTCAAAATCCAAAACTCATCCGAGGTGTTAACAAAAAAAAGGTTGCCGAAATTGCCAGAAGTAATTGTTTACGTTTACGCAACTATGAACGCTCATGAAAAGCCACTGTCGAACTGACAGCAATCTATTGTTTATCATAGTTATACGAGTTTGTTCCTCTGAGTTCGATTCGCTTGCATTTTAGACTCTGTACAGAGGCATTCGATGATCCGATACAAGGCCGGTCCGAGGGGAGGGGGGGGGCGCTCTTTTGTAGGGCAAATTAGCTTTTAATATCGCGGTCAATCCTCGTGGTCGTCATCGTCATTATATCAGTTCTGCCACCACCCATCCCCCCTTCATCCTCCTCGTCAACCTCCGGAAGGAGGCGACGCGCATATGATCGTGATCTCGCTTTGATGGCCCTGCTTTCGACCTCTACAGAAGCGCGGACAACGCGAATGGATGCCGCATGATATTACTCGTTTTCGGTTCTTCTTCCTTCGCCAGCGGCGGAACAAGAAGATCGGGCCGAGAGCCAAGGGTGTGTTAGGCGTGCCGCAAATTGCAGAGCTAATGACGGCTAAGAATTTGACTGGGACTTGGACCCAGACCCGCTCGGTTCGTTTTTGTTCCATCATTCCATCATCTTTTGCTGACTGGGTGGATTTTTATCGAGCGAGGTGGCATTCCATGAATTTCTCCCGGTCTCTCTCTCTCTCTCCTGCCTCTCGATTCGTTTCGGTTTTTCGGCAACGATCATGAGAAAATTTTCTGGAAAATAATTACCCCCCATTGGGATCGTCAATCGAAAAAGAAAGGCATTTCCGATTCTAGCGAAATTCAAGTCCAAGGGAATAATTGCCGACGGAGGAAATGTGTCATTATTAAGCGCTGCGACTGCGAGCGAAAAGTCACCACTGACACCTGTCATCCCTAGTGCACACACTCTGTCAAAGTGTAGATGGCGCGCGCGCACGAGTGAGCGCGGGGACAATTAGGGCTCCGGTTGTAATTAATTAAATTGCTCCGGTTTCGGAAAGGTTCCACCACCACCGCCGCCGCCGCCGAGGAGAAAAGGTGGCATTATTTCACGCACGATCGCCTGTGGACGATCGATTCTTGTGACGTTCAACAGGGCGGGGGTCTAATCGCTTTCCAATGCTTTTAGGTTCACAAATGACAATGTCCACGAGGGGTCTCCAAGCGCAGACATGTATATTACCGGTCCGGCCGATTTCAACCGACCGTGGATGGTAATATCCGCAACGGAACGCCTCGAAACGCGCTGGATGGTGCATTATAATAATGTTATTATTATTATATGATATAGGCAGGCAGGAGGCATGTACACATCAACTTCTCTCTGTATCTCTCCCATGGAACTCCGCACCGTTGCATTTTGTTCAGTCCGAGGCAAAAGTTAAAAGTGTTATAGCCCCATCGTCCGGACGGCCGCGGCGGTCTCTTTCATCTTTGTTCAGATCTTTTCCGCTCCAGCTACTTCTTCTTCATCGCCTTCTTCGGTTCGCTTCAGCTCCAGCCCCTCACCTTGAGGTGCCTTCCGGGAGCACTCACTGAACCATTTCATTTATGGTTTCCCTGACACTTTAGAAGCTCCGAGAGTCTGCTGAACGAATGAATGCAGCTCCAGCCAGAAGCTCGCTCACATGCTGCATGGCCACGAAGAGAAACTCGGAGAACGGGTCGAAAAAAGGGGCGAGGAATGATTTATACCTGATCACACTGGTCGGAGGGAGGCTAATGGCTCCTCCAGTTCGATCCGATATGCATTTGAAATCGAATCTCGGGGAAAGATAGCAATTTGGGCGATGCCACAGCTGTCGCCCCCTGCCGTCAGTCAGTCACATTAGTTTTACATTGTGTCTCTTTTCTCTTTCTTCCGTTTCAGATTACTTCCCTGCGGCCGGTGATCGATTCGGGTTGCTCGAAGCAGGCCCTGTTCCTGTTCTGCTCGTCGCTGTTCCCGCTCTGCTCGGCAAATGCACCCCGGCCGGTACAACCGTGCCGGTCGCTGTGCGAACAGGTTCGCAAGGACTGCTTCAGTGATGCCATCTTCAGCAAACTGTGGCCGGCGTACCTGGACTGTCGGACGTTACCGCAGCCGGAAAACCACGGACTCTGCATGCAGGTGAGCATCTGGGAAAGGGTGCTAGAATCGGGGACTTTGAGTGGCTGTAGTCAGCAGGGGCGAGATGTGCTGTCAAATCAGCCTACTGATCACCCATCAATGAGATGTATACATGCGAGGAACAGTGAATTTGTCGTCTCTTTCGTTCTAGGCTGTAACGTCAAACTCCGTCATCCATTTAAACAGCCTAGAACGAAAGAGACGACAAATTCACTGTGCCTCACATGTTTACACTCATTGATTTTCCATATCCGGAGTGATTTGAGATTTGGGCGTAATTGCTTTTGTAAACAAACACGTCAATCGCCGAATTCTCGTGAATAACAGATCAATCTGGTAATCAAACTAAACCAAATTGTAGAGGAATCGTTCCTCTACCTGATAGTGTTATTAGTTTTCGAGATCGAGCTTTGATTTGCGAGAAATCGGTGATTTCTCGTGTTTGTTTACAAATGCAATTACGCCCAAATCTCAAATCAATCCGGATATGTGAATTTGGGTCCAAACATCAACAAACCATCGTTGCTTATGGCTTGTTGTCGTTTGGAACTAGAAATGCGAGCTAGGCGACGATTGTTCATATTTGACAGTTGATCGGGTTTGATTCTGACAAACGTCTCACCAATGTGCATTGGTCGTCTCTTTCAGTCGCCCGAAAGGCAAGAGACGACAAATTCACTGCCTCAAGCTTGATTTAAATAATCGTATATTATTTAGAAGTGATCTAAATTAATAAATTAGCCTAATTGGGATGGATCAAGCCAAAATAGACTAAACTGACTGGAACTTCCCGGAGTTCCATACTCCTGTTGATGCATTACGACCCGAATTTGCCGATGATGCAGCGGACGCATCCAGAAGAGGAATATGTAGTAGCTGCAGTTACCATTGAAGAAGACATGACAAGTATTCTGACAGACACTGTAAACAAGGTATCTATATCGTTTGCTGCTTTTCAAGAAGCTATCAAGTCAAGCGCTACGTTACAGCTACATATGTGAAGGATGGCCAAGGAATCCAACTTCAATCCGGCTCGAATCATGCCCGTTCCAGCAAAACCTTGGTCACGCATCCACATAGATTATGCAGGTCCTGTCAATTGTATGTATTTTCTGGTGGTGGTCGATCCGTATACGAAACGGCCAGATGTTTTCAATCTTTGGCGTTCCTGAAACCATCGTATCCGATAACGGAACTCAAAAAACACGTTATGAATTTCGGACATTTTGCGAACATCTTGGCATCAACCACATTCGAACAGCTTCTTTTCATCCTCAATCGAATGGACTGGCTGAACGTTTTGTGGATACCGTGCAGGAGGAGACACCTTGGAAGAAGCATTGCAAGTTTTCCTTCAAGTCTATCGTACTATACGATTTGAATGGACGTTTCCCTGCCGAAATGATGTTTCAAAGGCCTATTCGCACTGTTTTCTCAATGTTGAAATCTCCATCCGATACTGTTTCAGAATCCATCGGCAAAATATAAAAACAAAATGAAGCTTACTATAAGAAGCATGGAGCAGTCAGTTTGCACCAGGTGAAACAGTTTACGGTCAAGTACATCGAAATAATTCGTGGAATTGGGAGAAGGCCACGATTATAGAGAGAATCGGAAAAGTCAACTACAATGTGTACCTGAAAAAACGCCATCGCATTATCCGTTGAAGCTACGGATTTCTGAAGACGTCGTATCTCAAGATCCATCACTTCTTTCTGTGCTCTTCAACGGATTTGTACTCTCAAGTATTGAACAAGACACGGTATGAATGCTAACGAAGAATCTCATGAATCCTTCTATTGCGAGAAAGCTGAAGAAGATGTTACACCTCCTGTTGTGGATCCCGTTCCTGAGAGTGAGACGATTGATTCAACTTCCTGCAAGGTTCCAATCCTATTGGATGACTTAAAAGGGGGAGATGTTGGATCTCAGCAACACAGCAACACAGGTTCATGGCAACCAGCTTGATTCGGTGCCTTTTGATAGGAGTCAATAAATGTAAATGATTGATTCCTCGTTCTGCAATTAAAGACAATAAACCTTCAAGCTCTACACACTAAGATTTTGTTTTCGTGTTCGGTAAATTTTACCGAAATCAAAACAGCTGAACGTTCGGTAAAACCAAGGGTAAAACTTTGACCTTCATTTTTATTAAAGAGAGAACACGCGCAGACACGTCCGTATTGCAAATCGTTTATTTTAGAATTGAAGGGAAAAGTACAGTACAGGCAGAGAATAAATAGTTCTACACGGTAAGCGTAAACTACACAGAAGTTGGATAAATTCTACTCTGCCACAGATATGTATAAAGAACAGATGAAGCACAGCTTACACTACTATCTCGGTTTCGCTCCAGCTTGATCCGTTCAAGAGTCTTCGTTAGGCCATCTGCAATCTGTTGATCGGTGCTCACGTACTTCAGCCGAACGATGTTCTGGTCAAGGGCGTCTCGTATAAAGTGATGACGTATGTCTATGTGCTTGGTACGTGGCGTGTACCCTCCGTTTTTGGCAATGCATATTGTGCTTTGATTGTCGCAACAAAGCTCGATGGTTTGATCCAGTCCAAGTTGTTTGATCAAACCACGAAACCACATGGCTTCCTGTACGGCGGCAGATAAAGCCATGTACTCGGCTTCACAAGTCAATAGGGCAACTGTGGGTTGCCGCTTGCAACACCAAGACACCGCACCTCCTTGCAGCATGAAGATGCAGCCGCTAGTCGATTTGCGGCCGTCCGGCCCAGTCGGCATCGGAGTAACCAATCAGGTCAGTACTACAACCCTTGGTGTACTGCAGCTTGAGCTTCGAAGTACCTCGTAAGTACCGAAACAGGTGTTTAACAGCTTCCCAATGCTTGGCTCCTGGATTCGTGTTGAAGAGACTCAGTTGGTTAACGGCGAAGAGTACACCAGGTCTGGTGCATTGCGCTGGATACATCAAACTGCCTACAGCCTCCTGTTACGGCACTTCTTTCATTTTTGCAGCATCATCCGTGGTCTGCCATCTCTTTGGTCAGCTTCAAGCTTGAGTTCATCGGAGTCGACACTGCCTTCGCATGTTGCATGTTGAATTGGGACAGCATTGCCTCAATTGCTGATCCTAGGTCCTTCATGCGAAACGTGTCACCCAGCTTCATCTTGATCTCGGCAGTCCACGCTTTATCGTTGGAAAAGATAATCACGTCGTCTACGTAGATTGCAAAAAATATCATCCGGTTGCCTTCGATGCGATAGTAGAGACACGAATCGTACTTTGACGGAGTCAATCCAAACCTTCGCACCGCAGCATCGAGTTTAGCGTTTTGAGTCCGTATAGAGCTTTATTCAAACGGCAAACCAGTCTTGACTGATGGGAGTTTTGGGAACACGGAGGCTGTTCCATGTAAATCTCGTAAATGCGTCCATTTGCTCGATAGCCAGTCCATGCCGGGCGGACAAGGCGAAAAGGTACCGCAGGGAGCTATGACGAACCACGTGTGAGTAGGTCTCATCATAGCCCTCTAGCTGCGAGAAGCCTTTTACGACTAGGCGCGCTTTGTGTCTGTCCACGTTGCCGTTTGCGTCGTGCTTGGTCTTAAAGACCCATTTGCATTTGATCGGCTTCCGACCAGCAGGCAGTTCGGTCAAGGTGCAGGTGTCGTTTGCTCAGAGCGCATCATACTCCTCACGCATCGCTTGCTTCCAGAGTGCTGCGTCTTCCCGCGACAGTGCCTCTTGGTACGTATCCGGATCGCCATTTGGTAGTGGTCCCTCAGCTACGGCCATGTCGACTGCGGTTGCGATACCACCGAACAGGCCTTGGGGGTGTGAGCTGCACTGGTGTATCCAAGTTGCCCGCGTTCGTATTAGCCTCCTGTAAAGGTTGATAATGCGGCAGACCTTTGTACGTTACTTGAAAGTCATTATACTTGCCTGGGATTTTGTGCTCCCGACCGCTACGCCTCAACACCTGTGACTGAGGTGGATTTGAAGTCTTGCGCGGAGGGAGCACGGTAGTCACGTCAATCACGGTTTCCTCAGCGTCCTCAGCGTCGTCGTCCTCGGTTTCCTCGACGAAGCGGTTGTCCGAACCTCTTGCAGCTGGCGATGAAGAAACGAGCTTGAAGTCTAGCGGGACCAAGATCTGACGTTGCTTTTCATCCGGTGCGCTTGGTGTACCTTCGTCGATGAAGCAGACTTCGCGGCTGGTGAACACTTTACACGACTGCGGATCGTAGAGCCGGTATCCTTTCGTGTAGTCGTCGTACCCAACAAAAATGCATTCCCGAGACTTGGCGTCGAGCTTGCGTCGCCGTTCCTTGGGTATTTGTACCATTGCCTTGGTACCAAAATTCGAAGATGTGACAAATTGGGTTTCTTCCCGGACCAGACTTGCTCAGGAGTAGAGTTGTGACCTTGAGTTGGGGATCGGTTCTGCAGGTAGACGGAAGTATGTACGGCCTCAGCCCAGAACGTCTTCGCCAGTCCTGCTTCGAATAGTAGGAATCGAGCGCGTTCAACTATTGAACGGTATGCACGCTCCGCCATACCATTCTGTTCCGGAGTGTATGCTGTAGTCTTCTGTTGCTGAATTCCGTTGTCGCTGCGAAGAACCTTGATCTTCCGCTCGGATTGGCGCTCAACAATTACGTGGAATTCTTGGAAAGTTCTCAAAACTTCTGGTCCCGATTTCGTTTTGAGGAAGTACGTCCACATCTTCCGAGACTTATAATCCACGAAGACGATGTTATATCTGCTTCCTCCAAGAGATTTCACCTCCACGGGCCCGCAAATGTCGGTGTGCACCACATCGAGCATTTTTGCTGCACGCGGACCTTTCTTGCTAAAGGGATGCCGACAATGTTTACCCGCGTCTGTGCTGTTGATTGTGATTCCATCTGCCAATCCGTCGGCTAGCTTTCGAACGCTCTTTAGGTTCAAATGTCCCAGTCGTTGGTGGCAAACCGTCACACCGGTTGCTGGCACGCAAGCCAAAGCATTCTTTGTGTTCTGCTGCAGCTCAAGCGGAAACAATCCGTTTTCGTGCCTGCCTGTGGCCACTGTTTTCCCGTCGCTGTTCACAATTTTACATCCAGCGTTGGTAAACACAACCGTATATCCCTTGCTGACGATCTGGTTCACGGAGAGAAGATTCACCGAAAGATCCGGGATCAGTTGGACATCGTGAACCTTCAACGTGGCCGAGCCACTTGCCGTTACCTTCATCCCGTTTCCATTAGCAGCGACAACGGACCCGGTCGCTGGCTGCAAATTTTCCAGAAACTTGCACCTGAATCGATGAACCACTCCGATGCCTTCGTGGATGAAAAGGTTGACGGCACCGCGCAGAAAGCATCCTCCTTTTTGGCACTCCTGCAATCACGAGCAATGTGTCCAAACTTGTGGCACTTTCGGCATTTTGGTCCTTTGGGGGGGATCACTCTTAGACTCGTTCTGCTGCTTGTATTTCCCGCTGCGTCCAGCTGCTCCCGTCCGTCGACTAGCAGCCAGTGCCGCATCTTCAGGAGCTTTGTTTTGATTGCGTCCCCGGTAATCGACATTCCCGAGTTCTCCAGAGCCATGATCATCTGGCGATATTCGTCGGGGAGACCAGCCAGCAGCAACGTTCCTATCCATTCCTGGGAGATCGGGAAATTTATCCCGTTCAGTTGAAGAGCAGTGGTCACAATTCGGTTGACGTAATCGTCCATTGATGAGCAAGCAGACAGCTCTGTTTTTACCAACTTGTGCAGCAACCCGTCCCGTCGCGTTAGGCCTGTGTCGTCGAATGCACTTTCCAGTTTGGCCCAAACTTCCTTCGCCGATTTCGCTTCCTTCACGTGGACATCGTTAACGGGGTCGAGAAGCAAAATGATTTTTGCTCTCGCAAGCAGCGTCAACATCTTCGTCGGTTTCGTCCTGCTTCTTCTTCTGTTTCACAGCGCTCCACAGATCCTCCAGCTCCAAGTATGTCTGCACCGCAAACTTCCACGTGGGCCAGTTATCACGTCCGGTGAGCCGCTCGATTCCCGGAAGCCTGGAGATGCCGTTTCTTCAACAGGAATTTGCTGTGGCTGAGAAAATCATCACCAAGGATGCCACATTCGAGAGCAAGATGTAATAATGCGTTTTCTTTTTAAACCGGCGTTGCATTTTCCATTGGATTTAATGTGGTTATCATGAGCTTTATCTGACCGCAGATGTATAATTTTGATGTATATTGACTCTTTGTTTGTTTATTTCTAGATAGAGCTGGAATTAGGGCCTAACAGCTTTTGTAAACAATGACTTCTATCGATGATTTCTAGAAATTCAAGGCTCGCCCACGCAAACCAACATCTTCATCGAGTAGGGAAAGACTTTCCCTATCCGATGGTTATGCTGGTATGCGTGGGCGTGACTTGAGTTCCTAGAAATCATCGATAGAAGTCATTGTTTACAAAAGCTGTTAGGCCCTAATTCCAGCACTATCTAGATTTCACCGATTCTGATGACGTCACACAAAACATGACAGGAGTGGAGTAGCTAGCCTGGTATACACGCTAACTTGAAAGTACTCATTAATGAGTAAAAAAGACCCATTTTGAAGAAAAGTGGCTTAACTCATTAATGATTAAACAATTTTACCCATTAATGAGTATCTGTTACCCATTAATGATTAACAATTACTCATTAATGGGTAACAGATACTCATTAATGGGTAAAAAATTTACTCATTTAATGAGTTAAGCCACTTTTCTTCAAAAATGGGTCTTTTTCAACCATTAATGGGTACTTTCAAGTTAGTGTGTATGTAGGCCGTGGTTCCATCAGTTCCACATGGTGTCAAACCGACTACTTTGTCACCTGATTCAGTTACAGCGGCACCATTCACGAACCGCAGCTAAACAATTTGTGAATTTTCGGAATCAATTACAATTTCCCCCATAACTACCCAAATACATCAAACGCTATGCGATTGTACACCGCATCTAACGAACGAGCAACCTTCCGGCACGCACCTTTCAACCGCTCGGCATCCCACAACTCTTAATAACATAGCCCCAGCAGGTTCGCTGGTATTTGGACAAGATCGCTTAATCCGGTTTCCTGGAAACCAACCGAAAGGTTCTAGCCTCGAGCTGTGGGCTCTAGAATTCTTCGCCCGAAGATATTAGAAATCCTAATGGGTAATAGAGCGCGGAGCCCACCAAACAGCGCCAGCGGATATTTCGGCTAGATCGTCCAATCGATCCATCGCACCAGCTCTCTTTCGCTGACCGTGCGTTATAATTAAGCCCCGCGCTAAAAACTGTAATTCGGAATATTCGCATCCGAGATTTTTACTTAATTTCTGCTTCGTACAGAGCGCTTCCTCGGCGCTCGGCTGACTGCTCCCCTGCGAGGGAAGCGTAGTAGGTTGATCTGCTTTAAAGCAGCCTGAGTATCGATCGCGCTTCTAATTAGAGGTCTGTATCACTTTAAAAAATAGTTATCAGAAATATTTTCCCCTCGCCTACTACTGCCAGGCAGGGCGGGGACGTACGAAGCGGAGGTTGCTTGGACCCGATAGGAGCGCAGCAGCTTAATGCCCGACTGGCGCTCAAATTAATGCCCGCGCGTGAAAGATGGAAGGAAGCGCTAGCCCGTCCTCCTCCTTCTCCTCCCCCACCTCACGCAGATTTTCGAGTGAACAAGAAAGACCCAAACCCGACGAAACCTCTTAAAAGCTCTTTTTTGATAAAGCAATTTTATATTACAGTTTATCTTATATCGATCCGTGGTGAGGTGCACAAGCCGATCGCGTTTCTCTCTCTCTTCTTTGGACCTTTTGTTCGGCCACACCACGACTGCTGATTTACAAAGTCTCTTTCACTCATTTCTTGAATCGAAGCCGTGGCCAAGCCAAATGATAATTACCGGCTCAGCAGCAGCCGCCGCCGCCGCCACCGCCGATATGTGCCCCTATAGACGTTTGTCTTAAAGGTAAAAGTGCGCCCCCGGAATGATGATGGTGGTGGTAAGGTGAATATTAAAATCGGACACGCCGCGGACAGGTTCAAGGAGAGTGTGGGAAGTGGGAAGAGGAAAATCCGAAATTAATTACTCCACAAAAATCATAATTATTTTTGTGAGATAAAACAGAAGTTTTTCTTGCCGGCAGATGGCAAGGCACCGTGACTTCGGGGATCTTGCGTGTCAGAAGACATTGATGGAAGCACGGCTGGAGGTACTGGAACGCTGGTTCAAGCGTTGAACTAAATATTTCCTGGGTTTTTATCATGTTGAATTATTACTTTATAATCAACCCAACCGTTAGCCAACTAGAAGATCTGTAACTAAGCGGGACTGAAACCGTGAACAGTTTGTCAACTTACCTAGAAATACACTTTTACGATTCACTATTTTCACTTTTAAGCACATTTTAAAACTAATTCAACTTCCTTTTGACAGTATCAGAGTTCAATTTACGTACCACTTGCAAAAACTATATGCCCAGTGGTAACAACGCTAAAGCGTTCCCTACCATCACCATAGAGACTCTTTAACTAACATCTTCATCTTTTCTCTCTCTCTCCATTCCAGGTCCCTCCGGAAGCCTCGGGAAGCGTTGAGAAGAACCTCAGCAACCCAACCGTCACTGCCGCCGTCCCCCTCAAGCCCTGGTCCATTTTCAACCTCCCGCAGCATCCAGCGATGCATCCCAACTCCATTATGGAACCGGGTGCCACCCGGCCCCCAACCAACCATCACCACTCCCCGCCGGTCACCTGCCCCACCAACTACAGCCTCGAATACGACCAATGCGTTCCGAAGTGTGGTTCCTCCATCGATGCCATGTACAATGCCCGCCAGAAGGAGACCATCGAGTTCTGGACCCTGATGCTGTCGGCAGGATGCTTCATCTTCACGCTCATGTCCCTGGTCACCTTCTGGACCAAGGCCACCAAGTTCGAGTACCCCGACCGGCCACTGCTGTTCATGACGCTCTGCTACAACCTGATGGGTCTCTGCTACCTTGAACGGACCATCCTGCACAACCCACGCAAGGAACTCATTGATTTGCTAGAATTCCGTCAGGAATGCAACATAACCTCCCAATGTCTGGCGTACTACATCATCAAAAACTACCTGCTCATCAGCGCCACTACATGGTGGCTGATCTTCGGCGTTTGCTGGTACCTCAGCACCGCCAAACAATGGTCCTGCGAAGCCCTGGAGAAAAAATCCGGTCTGTTCCACGTGATGGCGTGGGTCGTTCCATTCGCCTCGCCCATCAGTGCCCTGCTCCGTGGCAACATCCAAAAGTTTGAGCTCACCAACTTCTGCACCGCCAAAGGATTCACCGAAATCCCTGCTCTGATCCTACTGCTCGCAGGAGCCACCCTGATCTTCCTGGCTCTGGTCGCTCTGAAACGCCTCAAATCCACTTGGAACCAGAGCGAAACCCTCTCCAAAGTATTCACCAGAGTTCTGCTCTTTGCCATCATCTACCTCATACCCGCACTCTCCGCCATCATCTGTACCTTCTTCGAGCGGATTGAAAACCCCATCGAACCGTGCACCTCCGGCACCAACTGCCCAGCTCCCAGAAAGTTCTCCATTCTGCCAACGCTCCTGAAGCTGATCCTCACCCTAGTCGGAGGATCGACCACAGGCATCTGGCTGTGGACCAAGCACACCAGTGATCTGAGCAAAAAGGTCAGCGGAGCAAATTCGGCCAACGGATCGCTGAAATCCGTTCCGCTGCTCAAGGTGAATCACCCCTCGGCAGGCAGTGGTAGCCCGTATCGAAGCACAACTACCGCCAGCAGCGGTAGCACTCATCCGAGCTCCGGATCGAAAAAGTACCTCTACAATCAGGCATACAGCAGTAGCCACCGGAGTGGTGCATCCAATGGCACCAGCGGATACATGCCGGTGCGGATACACCGGAGTCTCCGGGGGATGTCGTCGGCGGCGTCATCCGGTGGACGGGGGCCAACGTCGTCGATTATTACGAGGATTTGAAGCTGACAAGGGGTGCGTGACAGCCAGCTTTAACAAACGGGATCGGAATAGCAAACACAAATAAAGCATACACATTTTAAACGCTGTGATATAGAAATTCTAGGTTAGGAATATGCTTAATATTGACTACAATGTGTTCTCGACGGTCTAGATGAGTGACAATAGTGGGAGAACATTGTTCAGAAGTAATTATTTACTGTGTAAATGAGAAATCTAATTGAAACATTAGGATAGGGATAATCCAGAAACAATTGTGTATATAGGAAGCAAGTTTAGGTTATGTTTTACGGAACAAACGGAAAATAGAACGTTCTAGATTTGTAAAATTTAAAACGTCGGTTTCAACTTTTGAGTAGGAAGGAAGAGTGTACATAGCAAGTAGTTTATAAAACAAGTTGATTGTATATTTATAATTGAAACATATTCGAGAAATGATAATATTAATAATAATAATAATAATGAAATATTGAAAACAAACCTAGCAGTTCCTTATCAATAAATATCACCAATCTATAGAATCTATGTCAAGAAACGAACTGCGTCAGGTGGAAATTGACTCCTCCGTGCTTTCTGTTAACCCCGATCGAGAGATCCGGTATTAACCTATGGGTCCATCTACCGTTCTCCGCCGTTTTCTAACTCTTGAGGCATTCTTGACGCTTGTAGATTCGCTCCGATGAGATGGTTCTGTATGCGTTCACCACTCGCATGGCCATGAGCCGGTACGGTACTGTTCAACGTCACGTGATTCCGCTTAGTTTCCAGCGCTGTAACCCAGACTGGCCCTCTGTACTCAGTATCGACGAAAATACACTAGCCAGAAGACGACTCTTGCTATTGCTTGGTCCAGAACCGGCCGATGTGGACTCTGGTACAAAATATAATCGTCTGAAATGAAATGTCATAATATGATATTATGACATATGTTGTTCCCCGATGTCTGGTACATGCCTAGATTAAAGAGCCTGAATTTATAAAGAGGTAACATCTTATCCATTTGACAGGTCTTCTGCTCGATTGGAATGATTTTTCCTATGACTTTGACAGATAATCGATTGTTCCAATTTTGACATGTCGTCTCTTTATAAATCCAGGCTCTTTACCTGGATATGACTTGAGTAGGCTTGGGAACTTAATATGACCATAGAGGTAACTCTAAGACCACTGGGTCCCGAAGAAAATCATTATTATTTTTGGCTCACTCAATACCAGAACAACGGTCCCAAGCAGTCCCAAGCTATTTCACTCACCCCTGCATGTTCTGCATGAATCCACACACCCCTGATGTTATCTGTCAAACTTTCATAGCGAATCAAAACAAACATAGTGTAGTAATAGAATTTCAACTAGAATAGGGTACGTTAATCGTTTGCTTGGGACCAATAGGCTACTAAAGTGGTGAGCCAATTTAAAATCGTTAGTTTCGTATTGATTGTTGATATGACTGCCTGTTTGCATAGATTTTCGGATAGACGTAAACACGGTTTGACAGTAGCATACACAGCTTCAATGCTGAAAATGTATTCTTTTGTTGGTTATTTGACTAGGTTTGAAATATAATGTTTACCTACATTTTCGTGCTATTTCTTCTTCGTCGACCCGATACTCTTACGAATATTCTGATCGTGGCTCTATCCAGCTTTCCATGCTAGGAAATGGCGGCCTGTTTGTATCAATAAATCTAGATACAGCTGGAATTAAAGCGTAACAGCCTTTGTAAACAATGACTTCAATCGATTATTTCTAGGAACTCAAGGCACGCCCACGCAAACCAACATAACCGTCGGATATGGGAAGTCTTCCCCTACCCGATGGTGTTGTTGATTTGCGTTGGCAAGCCTTAACTTTCTAGAAATCATCAAAAGAGGTCATTGTTTACAAAAGCTGTTACGTCCTAATTCCAGCTCTATCTAAAAATGTATCGTTCACTGTGCTTTTTGACACTATCTCGATGTTCAGATTTTGACCCCTTCCTTTCCCTCTCCCAGGAACAGAAGAAAATGGAACAATATAAGCCCCCCAGTTAGTGTCAAAAAGCACAGTGAAGGATACATTTATTCATACAAATAGGCCGCCATTACCGAGCATGGAAAGCTGGATAGGCACTGACAACCAGACATAACATTCGCAAGTTGTTCATCGCACAATCATTTAACGGACAATTTAAAAGTATCGTAGTTGGTAGTACCAACACCTGTGGCGCAAAAATAGCGCGGATATAAAAGGGAGATTGTTGCGCTGCCAGTGAAAGTTGCTCAAAATATATATATATATCTGATGCTAAAAAAAATTACAGATATGAAACTGTTTTCATGGCGAATGCTACCAGCAGCTATAGTTAGTAAGTATATTGTTAGTTTCTTGACTTTGAACATTCTCCTAATTCTAGGTTATCTAGATATTCTGTGACGCTTTTCTCGATGCCAAATGTTTGTTGAGCGAAGATGAACCAGCCTGTGACTGAAAATCTCCTAAATAAATAAAGAAAACAAATTTTTTGTTGTTGTTCTTAATTTATAGAACTCATTTAAAATCAAATCTCAATAAATGGTTAGCATTAGCAATAAATGGTTAGCATCGTTTTTTTTCGGTATTTCAATGTCGTATTGCATACTTATATATTTTTCCGATACGAATACAACAATCAATACGAATTGAACAATCTATAACAGGCGAATTCAACAATCAATAACAGGCTAAAGGAGCTAGTCGGGTGAGGTTATGTTTGATAGAGCTGCTACAGCAGTCATATCAACTAATTTCTATTAAAATGGATAAAGTTCACCCTTTTATCAAATGTCAACATCTAAGTAACCATTACCCAGTTTTTGTCGCAGTTACGTTTACCCAGATTTGGGTAAATGCAAGTTTATCAATTCTTGGGTAGGTACCGATCTGAGTGGATTCTACCCAAACTTGGATAGTTTTGAAATAGCGTGTATACAATTCCTGTAAATGTCGTCCCCGTTCCTAAAATATCCATATTGTTGGCTTGCTGGCAGTTTTTCACAAGCCGGAAGTCGCCATCGTGGATTGTAAAATGGCGTGACTCCAAGGGGTAATCAACTCTGCACATTGTGTCAAAACACATCGTGGCACATTGATCGGTGCGTCATGGCACACGATGACAAGTATGACTTACTCACTTACTTACTTATCCTGGTCCGACATCCCTCAGGATTGCACCTGCATCACAATGTTACGCCAATTCACTCGGTCCGTGGCTGCTTGTCTCCAATTTCTTGACCGTCCCACACTTCTAAGATCCTGCTCCACTTGGTCCAACCACCTTGCTCGCTGTGCTCCTCTTCGTCTTGTACCGGTCGGATTCGAGGCAAACAGCATTTTTGCGGGATTATTGTCCGGCATTCTTAAAACGTGTCCCGCCCATCAACCCGTCCAGCTTTCGCAACTTTCTCGATACAGGATTCGCCATAGAGCTGCGCCAGCTCGTGATTCAACCTTCGCCTCCATACACCGTTCTCACATACCCCGTCAAAGAGTATTCCTCGTTCGAAAACACCCAGTGCTTGCAGGTCCTCCTCGAGCATCGTCTACGTATCGTGCCCGTGGAGAACTACCGGTCTTATCAGCGTCTTGTACATGGTACATTTAGTACGGAGGTGAAGTTTACCCGACCTCAGGGTCTTGTGGAGTCCGTAGTAAGCACGACTTTCGGCAATAATACGCCGATGAATTTCTCTGCTGCAGTTGTTATCCGACGTCACCAATGATCCGAGGTACACAAATTTATCCACCACCTCGAACTCATCTCCGTCGTTGTCACGTTTCTGCCTATGCGAGCCCTATCCCGCTCGGTTCTTCCAGCTAACAGATACTTTGTCTTCGACGTTTTCACCTTTAATCCAACCTTCTCTGCTTCACGTTTCAGCCTGGTATATTACTCCACCACGGCCCGAAACGTTCTTCCGATAATGTCCACGTCGTCAGCGAAGCAGATGAACTGGCTGGACTCATTGAAGATCGTGCCCCGCATGTTAAAGCCGCACGTTACATAACTCCTTCTAGCGCAATATTGAACAGGAGGCAAGAAAGACCATCGCCTTGGCGAAGTCTTTTGCGAGTTTCAAACGAGTCCGATCTGTTCTGGTCAGCTTCCCGGGAAAGCCGTTCTCGTCCATAATCTTTCATAGCTCTTCACGGTCAATAGTATCATAAAGGGTGATACGGTCAAAATTTGGTCAATATCAACTTGACGTATTGCTTTCAATTTTGCATTTAAAAAACCTGAACACCCCTCATTTTGAAGGTGTGTGTGTGTAGAATGTTGCTCCTATTTTGATTTTGGAATTCACTCTTCAGTTGTCAAAATGCCGTCCAAGCAAGAAGAGCAGCGTATTAAAATTTTGCTCGCGCATCGCGAAAATCCGAGCTACTCGCACGCAAAGTTGGCAAAATCGCTAAAAGTTGCCAAATCAACCGTTACAAATGTAATTAAAGTGTTTGGGGAACGTTTGTCGACAGCCAGGAAGTCTGGATTGGGGGGAAATCGAAAACCGGAAGCCGCTGAGACGACAAAGAGAGTTGCCGGTAGTTTCAAGCGAAACCCTAACCTCTCTCTCCGAGATGCCGCAAATAAGCTGGGTGTATCGTCTACAACCGTGCATCGAGCCAAAAAACGAGCCGGACCTGGTGGCCTTGAAATCGATGAATAGGTGGTGCGTAGGGACTTGATATTCACGACACTTTTGGAGGATCTGCCGCAACGTAAAGATTTGGTCCGTTGTCGATCGCCCATCCACAAAACTGGCTTGATAACTTCCCACAAATCTGCTTGCTAGCGGCGATAAACGGCGAAAGATGATCTGGGAAAGCACTTTGTAGGCCGCGTTAAGAATAGTGATCGCTCGATTGTTCTCACATTCTAGTTTGCCGCCTTTCTTATAAACTGGGCATTTTACTCCCTCTTTCCACTCCTCCGGTAGCTGTTCTGTATCCCAGATCCTGACTATCAGTCGGTGCAGACAAGTGGCCAACTTATTCGGGCCCATTTTGATAAGTTCCCAGCTGCTTTGTTGTTCTTAAGCTGTCGCATAGCATCCTTAACTTCACCTATCGTGGGAGCTGGCATGTCCCCCTCATCCGCTGTACCGACGGAGCCATTCCTCCTGCCACTTTGGTCCACCACTTCTCCGCCGTTCAGATGTTCTTCGTAGTGCTGCTCCACCTTTCAATCACCTCACGTTCGTCCGTTAAGATACCCCCTTCCTTATCCCGACACATTTCGGCTCGCGGCACAAAGCCTTGGCGGGATGCGTTGAGTTTCTTGTAGAACTTTCGTGTTTCTTGAGAACGATACAGCTGCTCCTTTTCTTCGCACTCCAGCTCTTCCAGGTGGCGCAAAAGATGGGTTTGCTGTCTTCGCTCCACATTATGGCGGGTTCCTTGCTCCAGCATCGC